AAAAAAAAAAAAAAAATGAAGTACCTGGTATAACTGTAGGCACAACCTTTAAGACGCTGAGGGAAAGGCTAAGAAAGATGGAAGTTGTTATTCCTTTACGTATGAGATATATTTCTAAGAATCTTAGAACTTCATATTTTTCTTTAAAACTGTTCTAAAATACAGTAGTATCTTCTAGAATTGTATTAACAGATTAATTCTACCTACATCTTTTTATTATAAATTCTAGCAACTAAGAAATTCACTCCAAAGTTAACAGTTGACTACTATACCACTGACATTTTGACCCATTTTTGAATCTCTATGAATCTACAAAGCTCCTAAGAAAAGAACTATTCTATACATTTCTTCCTATTTTCCATAGAGAGTTACTCACCACCCCAGGCAAACAACTTTCCACCTCTAGATTGTGGCCATCATTATAATGGTTATAGTGGTTTCCAGGAGATGCAGTTGAGGAATCGGAAGAGCTATCAGGACTTGACAGCATGTTGGAATTTATTTGTGTAAGTTTGGCTGTAATCAGCTGAAAGTAACAGTGTATTTAGTAGCAAAGACAAGAGAAAACATTTCTACAAGTAATAAAAATTAGATATATTGAAAGGTTAAAATACATGTTTTGCTTTAATTTTAGAAATACACTTAAAAATTACTGTTTATTGTAATCATTTAGTTGTATTTCCTTTAAATTCTGTGACATCTATTTTATTCAAGGTTATTATAATCTAAATACCAACACAGAAGTCTGTACATAATAGACACTCAATAGACATTTACTAAATAATAAAATATAGCCTCAACACTGAAGTTTTATGACTTATTTAAAAACTGTATTTACTTACAGATTTATCTTTTAGGTTTAACTGTCCAATTAGCTTTCTGTCATCTTCAGAATCTATCAGCTCACCACCCACAAAAAGTTCAATTTTTGTATGAGCTACATTGGCTTTAACACGATTAACAATGCATCGCCGTACTGAACCAACTGTGTCATTTGTATGAGACCATATATCCATCTCATCAACCTGTGTGCCCTGGTTTGGAAACTGAACTATAAGAGAGACGTGTTTGCCACGAAATGCTCTGAAAAATAAATAAGTAAATAAATAAAAATAATCTTAAAAAGAGAAAAAACCATAATGATATTGAGCCAACTACTAAAAAAAAAAAACCTGAAAATTTAATATTTCATTGTTAAGTCAGAGGATGACAGTTAAAACAATTTACTTTGTTTTTTAGGATCTTTAGATCATTCTTCCTTTAAACAGTAAACATCATGAACTTGGAAATGTAATAATCAAATTCTATTGATAATCTTGTCTCTATGGAGGCAGAAAAAATTTTCACACTTATGATAAATTATAACAAACAGAAGTAATGCTTCAGTTATTTTCATGCCACAAAAGCTCAACTCACTAAGGCTATTTTCAAATATCAAATATGGAATATGAGTTTCAACTTGAACATATCAACAAAAATACTAAAATGAATGTTTCTGTCAAATAATTCTAAAAGTGTCAAAAAAAATACCCCCAAGTATTAATACCGGTATAATCTTGTTTGCTTTATACTCTTCTGATAGGTAAAATGCAAAATAAAAAACAGCATTAAGAAGCAATTTTACGGGCCGGGCGCGGTGGCTCAAGCCTGTAATCCCAGCACTTTGGGAGGCCGAGGCGGGTGGATCATGAGGTCAAGAGATCGAGACCATC